CCCCCAGGTCCTGGCCCCCCACACCTTTCTGCTGACAATGTGACTCACACTTCAGGGCCTGAGGACCAAGGAGAACACATGGCATATTGTTCAAAGCCATTAGGAAGCCACTCCAACAGTTGCCCTGGAGACGGCCAGCTTCTCCCAGCAAGAATGGAGTTAAAACACCTCTGTTCTTAGCGGGTACTTGAGAACTACAGACTTTCAAAGTTCATTTTGATTTAGAGAACCGCGGGGAAACGCTAGGCCAAACCTCTCTCTGAATTGATGAGAAAAAAAGCAGTGACACTAGGAATCAAGAACAACGAAAACATCGAGTCAGAAATCTCAATACACGATTTGTCAGTTATTGATGAAGAGTTAAAACGTGTATATCCCATGATGCAACAGCTCTGCTTCTGGGAACTCACTCTACAGCAACGAGGGCACGAGTCCACAGAGATCTATGTGTGAGGATAAAGGTTCACGGCAATATCCTTTCCATGGCAAAAATCAGGAGCATCTGAAAGCCCATCGGAAGGGGAATGATGAAATTATAGAGCATCAGATAATGACACTCAGGAGCATGAATGACGTACTGGGCTACATAATATCCATAATACATTATTGTGCCAAAAAAAAGTGCAATCTATACGAATAGTATGATTCCATTAAAAATGTGTATAGAGCATAGAAAATAGTCCACGAGGACACACCCCTCCGGGTTAACAGAAGCTACTGGAGATTAGAGAGCTCGATTTATGATTTTAAACCAGTAGGGTTATGTGAGACTTTTAGTGTCTAATCCCAATATGCTACAATTTTCTATTTATATCACTCTATCAAGTTATACTCTTCCTTACTGATAGTTCCCTTATTTACTCCATTTCTAACCTAAACATAGGTACAACAAGAACAACAAAACCCCAAATAACTCTTCCTCCACTAATTGATCTTAGACCACCTTATTACTCTTAACTAGCTGACAAATGAAATGTCATGCAATTTGATAGCAAAGATTTTGATTTGGGAAAGTTCATTAAAGTTCAGGAAAAGGCAGAGTTTAGCCGCTTGAGCAAAGAGCTCAGACGCTGACAGAATTCCTAGCCCTGGCGACTACGTGGGGGTCATAACGGCATCAATGTCCATGGGGTTGGGGCAGGGAAATGAGCCGGGGCAAGGAGTCAGGCGGACGGCCGTGGGGTGGGGTGGGGAGGCGGTCTGGCGTTGTTAGCCGTGGTCACCACGGATCATTCATTCAGAAACGTAATGACCCAGATGCCCTTAGATGCCCCTGCTAACGTTAGGCTTTAACGGCGACTGTTTTATTAGTCTTGATACCCCTGATACCCAGCCAACGTGCTCAGTTAACTGACACGTGTAACAGAACAGTCAAAGTACCTACCCTCCTGGGGTTATGAGAATTAAGTCAGTTAGTATCAAGCCACCTCTGAGAGGCGTATCTCATGGACTAAGTTCGATATGAACGTTCGCTGTTGGAGGTTCTCAGTCCCTTCGCCACACGCAAACCCACAGTCCTCTGCGGGGTTCGGTTCTATAACCCACTTGGCAGCCAAAGGTGACCAGAACTAGCTACAGTCTTTATTTATCCCGCACGGAGCGGATATTTTGCTTAACTGCAGAAATATTAAGGCGTCTGATTACAGTTGCTACCCCCAATCCTACTGGAGGTGCTTTAGGGTATACAGTGTATGTGCCATATCGTCTCTCTGAAATCTCCAACATCTGATTTCCGAAATACATCTGAAGGTCTCTGGATCAAGGGACTCTGAACCAGTGCGAGCCTCTTTGAAAAATCTTGTAATGTTAGGTTTCAGAGGCATACGCAGAGATATTTGGCATTGAAGAACATGGAAAAGAGGGACAACTTATTTGTTAAAAGGTGACATCTGAACTTTTAAAATACAGAGTAAACGTGGATGACTAATCAGTGCTTACTGGAGTGAACGCCTGCAGCCTGTCTTCCTCCAGCGACCCACCCCACACACGCTGGGCAAGGTGACCTTCCGCCAGGCGAGGCGAATTCTGTCCCCTCCCCCTGCTGCCTCTCAGGGACTTCGCCCTGTGAGTGGGCGTGTCTTGCGACAACGCCACTTCTCCACCCGCCCCCCTCGCTAAATTTAAACATGCGTGAGTCTCTCCAGCAGTGAGGTCCCTGTGACGTTTCTCCAGTGCCACCTTATCCTCCTCCTCCTGACACACCTGTGTGCGCCCACTGCACCCTTCTTTCTTTCCAGTCCTCAGCCCCTGACAACTTGGCCTCCACTGGCACCGAGGCGCTGAAGCTGCTCGTCGAGTTCACCGACGATCTTCACGAACCCTGTGATGGTCTGACCTGGCCGCCCCGCGAACTCCTCCCCAACGCTTAGGATTCCGCTCAGGTCCCGCCGACCTCACACTCGCCTTGGATGTTCACGCCGACTCCAGGGTGTCAGTCATTATTCACTGGCTGATGGCTTCTGAGTCTACGTCCACAGTCCAGCTCCCTGTCCCGAGCTGCAGACACCGTCCACAAGACATCTCCATTCAGATGCCCGCCAGGTGACCAGGCTCAGGCTGAGGCCGTACTTGTCTCCGCTCCCGCGCGTGCGCATCCACGCCTCGGGGTTCCTCGGGCAGTGAAGGCCAGGCCGGGCCAAAGTGCCTGCGCGTCATCGTCAACAAGCTTCTGCCTCACCTTTGTTCTATAACTAGCCATCAGGTCCTGCCACGTCAGCTTCCTGAATGTCCCCAGCATCCATCATCGAGATCGTGTCTGTCTCAAGCCACGGGTGCATCCCGCTTAGATTACTGCCCGAGATTCTTTACAGCTCTGTGCCTCCCGTCGCAGCCTCGGCTAACTCACTGTCGACGGCGCAGCCACAGAGGCCTCTGACTCAAGCGTGATCACCTCTCCCTTCTTAAACCCCTCCACAGCTTCCAAATGTCCTCACAGCAAAGTCCACGCGTCTTCGGAGCCCCTTCCCCACTCTCCGTACTCCATCCGTCAACAGATGTTCCGTCTACAACGTGCAAGGAGAGTTCTGGGCTCTAAGACTGCAGAGGTGAACCAGCCCAAGGTTCGGACATGGGGAAGCTCACGGCCTGGTGGCTGGGGCTTGGGGACAAACACCAGTAAATAAACTAATTCTAACGACTGTCGTAACGGTGGACTGGCAGCTATGCTACGTCAGTGAGGGTGTCCGCGTGACATTTTCGTGGACAGGTCTGCCGTCCTAGTGAAGACATGTCCAGCACACTGACACTCAGCTCGCAGCTCCCGGCTGAGACTTGTCTGGGGGACTTTTCCTCTTGCCGTGAGTTTGGGTCGACGGTGAGTCCTGGATGCTCCCCAGCTCAGCGCGCTTCCCCAGGGGATGGGCCCCTCGCGGTGTCGACGCCCATAACCTGAGTCCTCCCACTGCAGGCACTGGCCTTTCTGTCCCTGGTCACCTAACGACAGCGGCTGTACCAGGTGCACCTGCATCACGTGATCCATACTTTCTGAAGGGCACATGAAATAATATCAAATAATTTTCCTGGCCTGACGCACAGTTAGCAGTGAAGAGGGAAATACATGACCTGTAGAACGCTGAGAGGCCGACCGCAACGCGGAAACGCCACGCAAACCACGTCCCTCGTGACGTCTGTCCGCTTTATCGTCGTTCGAGAGAGTATTAAAGCGTGAAACTCGATACCAAGATTAGTCATGTTTCTTTTCAGCTTATGCTTTTCTATTTTTTTTTTTTAACTTCCCAGGCTCTGTGAAATCATGTAGACCTTTCCTATATGAACTTTTGAAACACCAAGTCACAGGCTTCTTAAGTAAAACCGAATGGTTCCTCAAATGTGTTAAGGATTCAACATTTGACGCAGGTGAATAACTGTTTGATTATCTTCCTTTTCAGCCACATGGATGTCTGTCTGTAGAGTGGGTAAGTTCTAATGCTTTTTATCAGTTTTTAATTCCAAACTCAAGAATGAACGTAAGCATGAAAAACATGATATTTTCAGGCTTGGGAATATGCCAGTCAACTGACAGCCCAGAGATTACATCCGCCTAGACCTATTCTTTATTTCCTATGACTCAGGCTTATCAACTACTCCAAGAGAACTGAAAGATTCTTCTGAGATCATACGACCTCTTCTAGGTAGTTAAAAGTCAAAGATAAGTGATCCTTATGCACTGTCTCTATTTCGACAATCTACGTGTGTCCTCTCGGGCACTGGGAGGCTTCCAATCGTGCAACAATCAAGCACCGTGGGGCCGCGCCCACCCTCTCCCACTTCCCACACCCCACACCCCAGCATCTCAGGGACCCTTCCATTACGAGGACTGGCACGTGACGTCATCTGGAAAACTGCAGAGATGGACGAGAAATCAAAGTAAATAAGGATGGGTGGCAGGTCGTTTCTCCGACCGAGGACAATGAACTTCTAAGCATTAGTGAGCATCGTGAAGGAAGCATTAAAGTTCCCTAAATCTCAGAAAAGGTTGGATATTTATAAACTTGGCATCGATATTTTTTTATTTAATGCCAGTGTGTCAGACGAGCGCAGCGTATTGATTAGACCACAGCTGATAGAGAACAGCAAATACAACCTGCCTCCCTGGTCCAAACGCTGTAGCCAGAACTTCTCACTGTGGTTTTAGAGGAATGAAATCAGCTAATATATTTCTACAGAGTCCCTCACCCTCCATTAAGGTAATTCACCTAGAGTTAGTCTATTTGCCTTGGTCTCATAAGTGTTGTTATTCTGTTTCTGGTTTATTGCACTGTGATGACAGGTGTTTTAAATCCTATATTCTTGTCCAAAATAAGAGTTGATGACTTTGCTTGAGTACAGAAATCTCAAAGACACAATATAGATGAGCAGATGTGTGGATGAAGCTGAGAAAAAGTAGCTTAGAACGTAATGGACACAGGTAAGGCGACCGTGAACGATGACCCGAACTATGATGAATAACAAGAGATGCTCAAAAGATAGATTTAAAAAGCCTTTTTTTAAATGTCACTTACCTTTAGTTCTTCCTTTGTATTGAAACTATCAAGAAGCTGTTGATAATGCCTATCTGTCATTTGTCGTAATAGGGACAGGAGACAAGCAACAAACTCCCCCTAATTAAAAAAAAAAAAAAAGCATATTTTTTAAGTAAGGACATAGACAACATCAGTAACTTACTCTGAACTGCCCTCAGACAGAACACACACACACACACACACACACACACAGCCACGATCCGAATTCACCCTGTGAAGTCTTCTTAATCTAAATTAACCATATATCATAGTCCAAATTCCTCCTTGAGATGACTATCACTATCTCGGCATACGTATTTTTAAATTTAGAGTGGACCATTTCACCCGGTTGAAAGCTTTGCACTAGCGAGGTAGCTCCACACACGTAGGGCAGGCAAGGCAACGAGGCTCCCCACTCTCCATTAAGCATTTCCTGTGCCTTCATTCTTTATATGGTTTGAGCCTCATATCAACGCTATGAGATAGGGGGTATAATACTATTTAAAGAAGGTAAAATGTATGTCCAGTGGGCTAAAAAGCTGGCCCAAAGTCACACGAGTAGAAATTGGCAGAGTGGGAGTTAACCCTCAGTCTTCCTGAGCGAAGCATTTCCTGTAACTCTACGATCCATTTTTGAATTCACGCAATCTTCTCTAGCTCAGCTTGTCCAATATTAACTTAGTTTTACTGTGGGAATTTTTTAAATACAAATCACCTTTAAAACACTATATACTACAGTGGCTTACATCCGTTTTATGTACAGACTGAGCATAATGGGTATTTCTACCAATATCTATAAATAAGATATTAGATGGCTACAAGAAGTCTTCAATTATACATACACATGATGTTTTCAAGGAATTCCTTACAGAGTTCTCCTGCATTTTTCCCCTCCCTGAACCACAAGCCCAGAGTGCACAAGAACTTTAGACAAGCCTGAGTCACCTGCATTACACCTGGTGCTTAACAGAATTCAGTGCAGAGAAGCACTGATCCACTGTAAGGAACTCTGGAGTCCAATTAGCTGAGACTCCGAATAAATGGCCATATGTCTACTGTATAAAATCTGCTTCCATGTACAATTAGATTTTTGAAAGGAACTGATTACAATGGTGTGTTTCCCCTCCTCTAGCTAGAGAGAGCATTTTAAAGTTCAAAGAACAGTTGGTAAAAGAACAAAATATACAACCCTTGTAAAAATAAGGGGTTTTTTTGCCGTTATCTGGAATTACGGTACAGCGGAAGCCGGTCCTCCAGTTGGTGTTACTGGAGGCAGCATGACAGCCAGGGCACTTAGAACAGAAACGCTTTACCGCGACATGCTGCGTGAACTGCTTTTACCCACGGAACGTCCGGTTACGGTGGGCACTCATCTGTAAACACTGAAAAGTGGCCGATGTGGGACCGCACGGGAAGCATCCCGCCCTCGGTGAGAAGAGGAGGAGGAAAGCGGGCAGGTCTTCAGTGCCCAGAGGGACCCGACTCTGTCGACTGTGCAGAGTACATTTGTCACCGCAGAACTGTTGGAACAACCGCGATACGACGATCGCTTCCGCAGTGATAATGCCATCGCTGTGACTATCGTGGCCACCACAGCGACTGAAACTTACCGGTATCATTTAACCATTTTTACAGATTGGATGAAACTCTCGCATGAACTTTGAGATAAGTACAATTATTATGTTTTCCTATTTTAAAGACATAGAAACAGAAGCTAAGAGATATTAGGTCACTTGCCCAAATAGCAGAATTGGATAAAAACTAGGTCTGTCTCGGTACTCACAAAAAACATCTTAAAGTATAAAATCGAAGGTGCCAAATACTGTGTGTATGTTTCCTCGCCACGCTCATCTCACGGGCCTTGAGAGCTGGTTTTCACACAGCAAGGACACAACATAGCTACTAATGGAGAGAAAAGTTTCACTTTATGTGATTTTCCTAAAATTCAGAACACTGGGCAATCGCCCCACCTGCCCTACCCCCAAATCCATCCACAGACGTGACTCGCCGCTTCTCAAGTCTCTTAGTTTGCAGTGGTTACTATACTGTGAAGGCTAAACGGCCGCACCTTCAAGGACCCCAGAGAAACTCGGCACACAAGCTGGCACCCCGGTGTGGGTACCAGGCACTCGGAAAAACTGTTTAGCTTTTGTCCTCAGGCAGTCCTTAACCACATGAGCATTCGCTCATGAGCATTTTGTTTGTTAAGTCATCATCATTTTAAAACTATGTTACAGCTGCATTGCCAGGCAGCAGTAAAAATGGCACTGTCAAAACTATAAGGAAGAAGACATTCTTCTGCTGGGAGATGATGGAGGATATATACTTGTCCCCATTCCTCCTGTTGACAGAGGAGATATACTTGTCCCCATTCCTCCTGTTGATGGAGGAGATATACAGATATACTTGTCCGCATTCCTCCTGTTGACGGAGGAGATATACTTGTCCCGTTCCTCCTGTGTTGATGGAGGAGATATACTTGTTCCTGTTCTTCTTGTTAAGTGCAGTGCAAAGCCCTGGGTATTATATATAAAACAGACAGAAGATGACTCTGAAAGGTGGAGAGAGACGGCAGACTGGCTAGGGACCGTGGGACAAGGAAGGACGTGGTACTGAGTTCTCTGGGGTTTGTTTCTGCCTCGGGTGTCTTGTACCTGGAGCTGAAGCAGCTGGCCACCCTGAAGCGCCAGCAACTGCAAACTACAAAAATCCCCCACAAAAGCCTACTCTCTTTGGCCAATGAACCGGGAAGGGGCCATTCAGCAAGACTCAACTTTTAACGATAGCTGCTCTATTTCAGCTAAACACCACAAAAAACTGGTCTCGCCCACACCTGCAAAGGCCCCGTGAGGAGCACAGATTTCGACTGTCACAAGGCTGTGATGACGCACCCCAACCTCTCTCCCGAGAGAGTGTCAGAGAGAGCCGAACAGGGCACAGCTCAGTGTTAGTAAAGATGATTCAGGAGCTGGACTTCCTCCTCGGTCTGGCCGCAAGGAGTTGGCACCCCCCACCCCGCCGAGTGGAGTCACACAAAGCCAGCCAAAGCAGGTTTAAACAACATCCGGTCTTACAATACAAAACATCAAGATTTCAACGGAAAAATCACTCATTCCAAGAACCAGGAAATTCTCAAATTGAATGGAAAAAGGCAATTAACAGATGTCAACATTGAGATGATAGAAATGTTAGAAAAATTTGACACATCTTATATAAAAATTAACTCAAACAGTTCATGGACTTAAATGTAAAATAT